CCCGGAGGGACCGTTTCCCAGTCTTTTTGGGCACGTGCCACGGTGGTGACCCAAATCCCCACAGTACGCGCATCGTCCCTCCTGATAGCGCCGTGCCCGTTCCTCAGGGGGGAGATGTCCGAGCTGCATCGGCTCCTCCGTCGGTTGGTGAGCCGGACGACGGGGTGACGTTCTGGTGTGGATGGGAGCTGACGTTGTGCTCGGCCTGTTCAGGATGCAGCGGTCCAGCTGGAGAGCCAGATCCACTGCCAGGTCCAGGGAGGTGGGGGCCTCGTGTCCGATCATGCCCTCTTGGATTCTAGGTGACAACCCCTCCAGATAAACGGCCTTTAGGGCGGCGTCATCCCACCTCAACCGAGCGGTTGTTGTCCGGAAGTGAGAGGTGTACTGAGCCGCCGTCTGGGAGCCCTGGCGAAGCTGAAGCAGCCGAGTCTCGTCCGAGACCTCGCTGCTGGGATGAACAAATTTCTTTTTCATCTCCTTCACAAAATTCTCATAGTCATTGCAGGCAGGAGATTTTTGATCATAAAGAGCCGCCGCCCATTCACCGGCTCGACCTGTCAGCAGTGAGGTCAGCAGGGCGACACAAGAACAGGAAGTGGGGTAGCGTGCCGGCTGGCACTCAAAAGTCATTGCCAGGGTCGCCAGCATGCCCTCCGGGGACCCCCTGGTTCCGTCCCACTTATCTGGAAGGCTGAGGCGTGGCTCCATCGGCTCAGAGACGGCCGAGGTCCGTCGTTGCAGGGCAGTAGTAAGCTGTAAAACATTCAAATCCGTTTTTTGCTTTTTTCACTTTTAAGCTGATGTTTTAAAGGCTTTAATAGAAATAAATTCTAAATACAAACCATACACTAAAAGCTGAGGTTGTTCTGAAAAAAGGAGAAGCGTTACACACACTTTGCACATTTTATTACAATTTTACAGTCATAAGATTAAAAAAAACAGGTGGCCCTGTTATAATTATGGTCATAACAGGGTTATTAAGACGGCGATGCACAAACATGAAGTGATTGGTAGTCATTCCACTCCAATCCAGTTGGTGGTGGTAATGCACCAAATTGTTGTTTGCCAAGTGCCATGAGACTACAAATAATAATAAGAAGAGAGAGCAGAAAAAGAAGAAGAGAGGCGGGAGCGTTCGTAACAAACTCAAAGTAATAGTCAAAACATTAAGCATGAAATGGGGTTATAGTGGCTCCAATAAGAGAAAGAAGCAGCTTACTTCATAAAAGCTTTTATTTTCACTTCTGAAAGTGACGTTGTTTTTTGATGTAAACATCAAAAGGAAGCAGAAAGGACAGACAATGGAAAATGTTTAAAGGGAGGAAAACATAGACCAAAATGGGAAATAGAAAAAAAAACTAAGGCTCAAGCACAGGAGCACTGACAGGAAAAAGAAAGCAGAGCAAATATTGAAAGCGCTCAAAGGGAGGGAAATACAGAAAAAAGAGGACAAATAAAAAGAGAAAATAACTCCTGTCAGAAGAAGGGAGAGTTTCGCAAATCCAGTTAAAGGTAAGATTGTTGAAAATTTAGTGTAAGGGGCCCCATGTCTGTGTTTGCCTTGGGCCCCCAAATTGTTAAATCTGCCCCTGTATTCATGATAATGTCCGATTTGTCATCCAGAAGCAGGGATCAAATTATGTGGGAGAGTTGGTGCACTCAAGGCAGCTCCGTTCTGCGCACTGCACATTCTCAAAGTGGCGTAACCAAAAAACTATAATTAACACACGACCATTCATGTCCGTTATATCCTCTGGTATTCTGTCTTTTAATCGTGCCTGACGCAGTCGCTCATCATGTGCTGCGCTGATTTCACCTCACTGACGCAGCATCGAAATGTGAGCTCCGCTTTGCTGTCAGAATATCTCTATGATCTGCTCAAAAGTAACTGATGAGGTGAAAAAAGTAAGAACCCAGGCAGCAGTTTTTCTGGAGATTTTAGAGGAGATGCAGGAAGATGAGAGACAGACAGGACAGGAAAATTGTTAGGTAATTTCATTTTCCCATCCAGGGTTACCTGAGGGAAAGTTCAACATGCAGGGGTTATATAAATAAGCCGATCGATTAACCCATACCAATCTTATTAACAATAAACAATAAATGCGTGTGTTAAGCCCCGGATCTTCTTCAGTCCTAAATCCGCCCCTGCCCTGTCCAGGACTATTAAGTATACATTGTTTGTAAAAACACCTCAGACATTACTGACATGTTCTAATATTGTCAGATGAAAAACGAAATTGTCGGATACGCTGTCTCATCTGCTTCATTTCTAAACTCACAAAAATATGCCAGTCACAAAACCGATTGAAAGCCACTTTTAGTGAATTCTCTTAACATTTCCATGGAGTTCATGACAAACATTCTTTTTCATTGATCCCATCGAATAATCTCACAGCTGAAACTACACATTCTTAATAATCTGAAGCTTTAACGCTGTAAACCACAAGGTAATCATTTATTATTAATATTACGTTGTTGCAGCACTGAAGCAGCAGAAAAATTAGATTTTGCAATAAATATGCAAAACATTTACATATGAATTGTTTAGAGACGTTTTGTTGGCAGAATCTGATATTAATGTTAGCTACAAGCTAGGTGTTCTGATAAAACACCGGGAAAATGGGTCCCAATGTGGTTTGTGTGCATTGTCATGAAACTGTGATAATGAAAGGCAGGATAAAAATGTTCACCTTTTTCTGTACTTCATTTTGTTGCCCTGGAATTTCATGTTGTGCCATATTTAGGAAGTTTGGGACCCCAAACTACTTAAGTACTTCTGGCCACAGGTTAAATGTTCCTACTTTAAGAGAAGTTGTTAAATTGCATTGTTTGTGTGCTACCTGGGCACTCTAAATATTATATATGTATGTATGTATGTATGTATATATATATATATATATATATATATATATATATATATATATATATAGAGAGAGAGAGAGAGAGAGAGAGAGAGAGAGAGAGAGAGAGAGAGAGAGAATATAGCCCCATAGCTATGCACTGGTGTGGGGGGCTGGGGGTGCGTCGACATAATCGGGACATAGAAGGGGGTGTGCGGCTAAATAAGTTTGGGAACCGCTGATCTAATACACCACCTGCCCCTGGGGATATAATGATGTCCTAATTGGTTCCGTTTATGGGAAATGGGATGGAGCAGATGAATCAAACGTAACATACTAAACTGATGTTCCCACATTAGTTGTGCCTTCTGCATATGGTAGATCCTATAATGGGAATAACTGGAAAAGGGCAGCTGAATGAATCATTCAAAGACATTAAAAGGGTAGAGTGGCTTTAGGCGCTGGAGGAGTCCGCTTCATACGACCTAGACAAGCAGGTCCGGGAGCCCTTTTTAGAGTAGTGCTGCTGATGATGGATATGTTACATTTAGTAATGGTGTAGTTTATATATTTGTTGTTAAGGTTGGTCAGACAGGTGGGGAGGGAAGGGCAACAGAGACAATGGAGATTGATGTAAGATATGATGGAATGTTTACTTACTGAACTTGAAGTAGGGATCGATTCCACTTTTTCCAAACCAATACGATACCGATACTTGGATCTGAGTACTCGCCGATACGATTACCAAAACCAATACTTCTAACACACAAAACAGTGCAACAAATTGGAATACAGATTTTATTTTCTTCTCTGCATTCAACAGGAAAAGGCTGTGAGGTAGATAAAAAAAATCTAATCAATTCATAGAAATGATCAGAAAATTTACATATCAACAGAAATAAAGTTACAGTGAAGCCACTTTCAGGCAACTGCACTGGTATCAGTTCCTGGTATGGGTTAACCTTTACCAATACTGGTATGGGTTAACCTTTACCAATACTGGTATGGGTTAACCTGTACCAATACTGGTATTGGTTAACTTTTACCAATACTGTAGCAGTTAACCTGTACCAATACTGTAGCGATTAACCTGTTCTAATACTGGTATGGGTTAACCTCAACCAATACTGATATGGGTTAACCTGTATCAATACTGGAGTGGTTACCCTGTACCAATACTGGTATGGGTTAACCTCAACCAATACTGGTATGGGTTAAACTTTACCAATACTGTAGCGATTAACCTGTACTAATACTGGTATGGGTTAACCTCAACCAATACTAAAGTGGTTCACCTTTACCAATACTGATATGGGTTATCCTGTACCAATACTGGTATCGGTTAACCTTTACCAATACTGTAGTGGTTACCCTGTACCAATACTGTAGCAATTAACCTGTACTAATACTGGTTTGGGTTAACCTCAACCAATACTAAAGTGGTTAACCTTTACCAATACTGAAATGGGTTATCCTGTACCAATACTGGTATCAGTTAACCTTTACCAATACTGTAGTGGTTACCCTGTACCAGTACTGGTATGGGTGAACACTGATATGGTTTAACCTTTACCAATAATGTAGTGGTTAACCTTTACCAATACTGATATGGGTTAATCTGTACAATACTGGTATGGGTTAATCATTACTAATACTGGTATGGGTTAACCTTTACCAATACTAGTATGGGTTCATCCCTACCTTGAAGGAACAAACATAATAAAAATGGAGAAACAGCAGAGCACCTTTCCATTAAATTTTGACTTTTATTGTAGATGAAATGTGATGAATCCACATTTTACCATAAAAAGTGTTGAGATATTCACCTTTGAAAATTTGCAAGGTTGAAATGGCACCAAACTGTAGCAATGAGCCATGTAGTGACACAGAGACGTCATGGCAATACTGGAATAGCACAACATTTGGTGTGTGTGTGTGTGTGTGTGTGTGTGTGTGTGTGTGTGTGTGTGTGTGTGTGTGTGTGTGTGTGTGTGTGTGTGTGTGTGTGTGTGTGTGTGTGTGTGTGTGTGTGTGTGTGTGTGTGTGTGCACTACATGCTGGGGACATTTTTCAGGTTTAACCTACAACATGGGGACATTGGGCTACGCCCTAAAAACTGGTTCTAGAGCTTTGGTGTGAATGAACTAGGGTTCAGGTTAGGAATAGTGCGTGTGAGGCTGATCTCCACCTGGATGTGGGTGTCCAGAAGGCCTCCCTACTTGAGATGTGTTTATGCATTTATACAGAAGCAGCTAAATAATCCTATTAGGATTAAGAACAAGACCATTTCCAAGAGCTGGATTATGCAGGAACCTTCTGTGTCATGTTAAACTGTTGGTGTGTTGTTCCAGCGTTGCCATAGGGTCTTATTTAGGGTTAGGGTTTACCGACGAATTAAAAATTAAGACCAAATTCTGTCGTGTGTTTTTTTTACTTAGTATTTTTGATCCAAGCCTAATGTGAAAGTTATAAAAATATGTTTTCTTTGTTTTCATTTCAGATTCAGCAAATAAAAGAATCAAAATTTTTTTCTTGATTTTGGGTGAAAAATGGAAAGATGTGAGCATTCACTGATTTAAGGTCCAAAAGGTCCGTCGGTAGATTTTGTTTCATGGGTTAGGGTTGGTTAGGGTTAACAACACCTTGGTGGGTTTGCTGCCCCCTGCTGGTTATGTCTTGTTCAGAAACAGCAGTTATAAATAAAGTTTCAGCAGATTGAAATGGGTTTGTTAATCTGTCAGATTAGCTTTCTGTGGTTAATCCAGTTTTAGTCAGCATGTCGTACAGAAGGAACCGAGTTCTGCTGTCAGGTGCGTCCTCCAATACCCCTCCCCCTAGATTTATGCTGAATTAGAACCTTTAGAACCAGAACTTCAAGCCCATATTCTCAGATTAAAACTAGTTTCAGGTGTAAAGTAATAATCCAAGTTCTAAGCTCCAGAACAGGACAGAGACATTCTGGAACCACCTGGAGTTTCAACATCCCCATTTCTTCTCTTCAGTGCTGTTGTGGGCGTCGCTGCTGTGGGCGTCGGCCTTCGTGGAAGAGCTTGATGATTCGTGAGTAGACCGTCTCATGTATTTCTCTGACACAGCGGGGTCAGGTGCATCACAGGTGAGACTTGGGGTGATGAGTTCAATGTTTTCTGTCTGAGCACAGCCAGTGGCTCTCTGGAGCATATGAGTCTAGGAGCTGATCTCCTCAGATCAGCTGATCTCAGCGTTCTCTAGGGCTCAGAAACATGGATCCATTTAAAAGTAACTAAAATCATCCGTGCCAATATTATCAAAACCTAAAGGAGCCTAGGTATGGTCCTAAGGTACACACACACACACACACACACACACACACACACACACACACACACACACACCACACACACACACACACACACACACACACACACACACACACACACACACACACACACACACACACACACACACACACACACACACACACACACACACACATTTGGATTATTACACTTGTGGGGACTTGTCATTGACTTCCATTCATTTTTGTGGCTGAATTATGCTGAACCCCAACCCTAGTTCATTAGCACCAAAGCTCCAAAACCAGCTTTTAGGGCTTAGCCCAGTGTCCCCATGTTGTAGGTTAAACCTGAAAAAAATGTCCCCAGCATGTAGCACACACACACACACACACACACACACACACACACACACACACACACACACACACACACACACACACACACACACACACACACACACACACACACACACACCGTTAGGCTCCCTCTTGGCCCTCAGGATGAAAACAGTGATGATCTTTGTGACGTCTGCTTTCAGCTTCATAGAAACAAAACATCCTGATGAGCTCTGGATCATCAAGGTAGTGTGTGTGTGTGTGTGTGTGTGTGTGTGTGTGTGTGTGTGTGTGTGTGTGTGTGTGTGTGTGTGTGTATGTGTGTGTGTGTGTGTGTGTGTGTGTAAGGGTATGTGTGTATGTGTCTATATGTGTGTATTCATATGTGTGTGTGTGTGTGTGTGTGTGTGTGTGTGTGTGTGTGTGTGTGTGTGTGCTGAACTCATGTGCACCATCTTGTCTGTAGTTCTACACTCCATGGTGTACTTTCTGTAAACAACTGGATCCTATTTGGCATCAGATCGGATCAGAACTCAGAAGTGTCGGATCTGTAGTTCGTGTCGGCGAATCAGACGCTACCATCAGCACGGGTCTGTACTCACCAAAATAAAATGATCAAATGTTGTTTATAAGCAAGCATTTTATGTAATGTTCTCCTGCAGCTTTGGCTAAAGAGTTCAGAGTCAGATCCTATCCTGCCATCCTGATGTGAGTCGTCATGGTAACCCCACTCTGCACAAGTAACACGTTCTAAAGATAAGATGATAGGAGCACATATAAAAGCAGAATAGTGTACTGTTTACACACACCTGGATTCCAGGTTGCTGATTGGCTGATGAGGACCTCAGATGTAGACAGCTGTTGTGTTTTGTCTCCAGGTTGAAGAATGATGTGAAATACAACTACGCTGGTCCAAGAACTAAAGATGGAATCCTGGACTTTACTGACCGAGTTTCAGGGTGAGGTCAGACCGCAAACACTGAACGTCAGTGTAGTGAGGTGATATCATCTCAACAGGGAGCCTAAGTCACGCCCATCTACTTCCAGACCATGGACGTCAGTACCTCCCATATATGAGGTCACCACTGTATCTTCTCCCCCTAGTGTAGCTGCTACTTACCACATGGCCAGGCTGGTGGTTCTGTCCTCCTGAAGGAAGGGTTGGAAGTTCAGTGAACTGACAGCCATTTTCCTTCTGTGTTTCTCCGGGTCTGGGTCGATGACGTCACTTTGGTGAAGCACATTTGTAGTCCTGGACTTATTTTCACACAAACCTGAAATAGTGTGTTTCCGGTCAAAAATAAATGCTTTCTTGGTATCAAAAAGCTTCTTTAGAATTCACGGACATCATAAGTGAAATCCGTGGAACATAAGTGGAATCGGAATTTAGCCCCATGGTCCGGGAGTAGGTGGGCGTGGCTTAGGGTCCCATTACCAACTTTTACAAGCTGATAAATCTCAAAGTACATGAGAGGTGTGGTGGGAACACCCGTCATTAGTTTCCCTTTAACATGCAGCATGTTACAGGAGATCCAGGGCCTCAGGCAGAGCTCCTTTAGCCCGTTCAGGGACTCATGAGCCGACCGGAGAGGGAGGAGCCTCTGCCTATGACCTCATCGTCTACCTGTGTGTGTTGACTTTTAGGCCTCCGGTCAGATCTCTGGGCAGCACACAACTCTTCCAACATGCCATGAGGCGCCATGATGTCATGTTTGTTTACGTAGGAGCTTCCTCAGAGCTGAAGGTGCGCACTCACACACACACTCACTCTAACACACACTCAGCTAATCAGCTAATCTGTTTCCAGGGAAACTACACATCAGTAGCAGAGGAACTCATTGTGCACACCTACTTCTTTTCTGCTAGTCGAGACGTCCTGCCAAAGGTTCCACAAACACATCAGTGTGTGTTTAGTGTGTTGGGAGTGTGAGGTTGTAACTTTAGTTTGTGTGTTTCAGGGTGTGGGTCTGACTTCTCTGCCAGCTGTGGTGGTTTTTAAAGATGGGACGTCCTTCAGCTACAACGGTGAGACAATCTGGAGCTCTGTGGTCTAAACCAAACATGTTTATTCACACCTGAAGCCATTTCAGCACTTTTATTCTAGACAGTTTTAGCACCTTCCACAATGAGCCAGTTTGGGGCCCTGTAACTTTAAGAAAATAAGTGGTTGCTGGCCACGCCCTCCCACACTCTGATTGGCTGCTACGAGGTGAGCAGCTCAGATATCCAGAAGGGGCGTGGAGTAGAGCCGCTGCTCCTTCAACGTCGACAGGTGTGTCGGGGAAGGAGGGCTGGTTGAGTTCTAATTTCCCTGATTGTGACATCACAAAGGGGGATGTTATGAAACGTTTTGTTTTAGGCAGATAATTCTGGAAACCAAATGCTTTTGTTGAAGTTTGGAGTGTTGATAGAGGCAGTAGAGACCCACACGGCAGACCAGAAGGATGTAGCATGATGTCACCGTTAGACTCTGACTGAAACAGCCACAGTGCAGGAATACGCTGCTCAGTTCAAGGGTTTATGCCACCTGCAAATGATGACGTCATTCAGGTGGGAGATCACGACTCAGAAAGTTTTGTGTTTCAGTGGAACATGACAGTGACCTGAAGTCGTGGATCCTCAGAGAACGCTTCCCGACCTTTCTCCAGATTGACAGCTACACTTTGTATGCCATGGGGGAGTCAGGTAAGTGCTGGATGATGTCATCACCCATGGGAACAGCCTGTCCAACACCAACCCGGTGACCTAGCTCATCGTTTGTGTAGTAATGTAACCATTTGTCATGTCTGTTGGGTTTTATTGGTGGTATCTTCATATTCAAACAGAAGTATGTTGTTGTATTGTACTGCAGCCTTTTGGGTCGACAAGGAGTTGATTGTAAACATCTGTTAGAAACAAACTCAACCTTCATCTTGGACCCACAAACAACCCATTAGGGACAAGATGGATGCAACTGAAAATAGAAGAAGATACAAAAGATGAATGGAGCTCTACAGCATCTGAGCTTATTAGCTTCATCTTCCTGTAAACTGGACCCGAGTCTCGAGTGTCTGAGACACCTCCCTGCAGCCAAGTTGGTACTTCTCTGTCAACGGGGGAGCGGAGACACGCACATGTGTCCATGCAGATGTTTTCCTTTCACACTGTTTGAGGGGGTGGGTGTTCTCTCACCACTCCGATCCATGAAAGTTTATTTATTATTGGGATTTCTATTAATATTGTGTTCATGTGTTTCAGAGACAATTTAACATGGACACGTATCCCTCGTTCTCCTCCACCTCTTCAGTCACTCTCCCCATTTCTGCTGCACAGCTTTGTTCTCCTTCAGTCAGGGTTGTAAATGTTCATTTCATTGGACCCCCCAGGTTAGAGTTCGTCTCCATCACGTCACCCTGATGATGGTTGCGTGTTTCTGCACCCCCACTGATGGAGAAGTATAAACTAGGCTTTAGATGGCTGCTAAGTTGTTAGGTTTTACCAACAAGTCACGCCTGATAAACCGATGTTCATTCACAGCAGCCTCTAGTGGGCCTTGCTGGAGAAGCTACAGGTACTGATTGGTTCAGGTGAACTGACTCCGCCTCTCTCCTGCAGGCAAACTTGTGTTATTGGCTCTGGTGGAGGGTAGACACCTGAGTGATGAAAGCCTCAGGTAACAGTCCACTTTCCAATGGTAAATATTGAGTTTGAACGTCCTGTGACGTGTTCCTGTCGCCTGTTCAGGTACAAAAATCTGGTAGAGAAAGTGGCTTCCAACCACAAAGAGGCTTACAGCAGGTGAGCTTTTGTAATGTAAGGTGCTTTGGAGTCCTCTGACTTGCTAAAGCCCAGTACACGTGTACAGGTTGTTTTTGATTCCTGTGGAAACTAAAGACTTGGATCTGACGTCTCTGTCATCTTCAGGAGCTTCTACTTCGGGTTCATGGAGGGCAGCAGCTACATCGATGGACTCATTATGGGGTGAGTTGGTCTGCCTCACCTTTGGACCATTCTGCTTCTGCTTCTGACTCAGCTGATATATTCAGGGAGCTCACTGTGCCATCGCTCATCGTGGTTAATCTGTCCAATGATGGTTACTTCCTGCCACTGGGCCCCGTGAAGACAGAGCGCCACCTGCTGGACTTCTTGAACGGTGTTCTGGATGGTAGCGTGGAGGCAAGTTGCACTGATTTCATTATTAAAATCAAGAAACACTTTGAGGTTTCTGATTGTTGATCCGATCTGGTTCTCAGAGTCTGGGAGGAAATGGGTTCATGCAGCGGGTTAAACGCTTTGTCTATGAAACCAAAATCACTCTGACGGTAGGTGACATCATCAGCCCCCTTCCTGGATCCTACTTCTGTCCACTTTACTGTTTCTTCCCTCTGTTCATCCAGCCGTTGTTCAGAGAAGCTCCAGAACTTGGCTGCTTGTTGCTTAGCTTCCCGCTCATCATCGGGGCCATCATCTGTTGCCTCTGCATGAAGAATCGCCCCAACCTGACCCAAGATCAGGACGGCACTACGCCACAGGAGCCGTCCCCCCCACGCCGCAACAAGCTGACACACAAAAAGCAGGAGTGACGAGTGCCAGACGAACTGCAATGACCGATTACTGAGACCAGATCTGAGCTGGACCCAGAGTTGGATCCAGAACAGCATCAGGTCAGCTTCAGGTCTTGACCTGCAGCAAAGTGCTCTGATATGTAGATGTGGTGAATCAAGACATTGTCCATGAATAAAGACTTTAGACGTCTCTTAAGCCTGTTGGATCTTCATGGGAATGCTGCGGATTTGTTTCTGTACGTGTATGTGGAGACAGCTGCTGTTCAGTAGGGACTGGAACACGGAACAAAAAGGAAACTAAAAACACACATTATTACATACACATACACCCTTATAGTCTGTATTTGTGGAGCGCCATCTGGGCGATTCTACAACCCCCAAGGTGCTTCACAACACAATCAGTCATCCACCCATTCACATGCTGGTAGGGATGAGCTACCATGTAGCCACAGCTGCCCTGGGGTGCCCTGACAGAGGCGGGGTCTGCCCGACACTGGTGCCACCGGTCCCTCCGACCACCACCAGCAGGCAAGGGTGGGTTAGGTGTCTTAAACGAAACCTGTTATCAGTTTAATGTCCTAATAGTTCTGTAGCCAGTACCAAATGTGTCTACAGAAATCACATAAAGATGCTTTTTCCTTGACAGTTTCAGTACCTTTCATATAGAGCCGTTTTAGGGCTCTTCCACTTTAAAGCAACTCTAAAGAGCTTTTCATACTTTTCACACTGGTTTCAACAGTCCTTCAGCCCTCTGCTGACCAGAAGCTGCTCTTTAACTATATTACAATGGACAGAGGACAGTGTGGACACATTAAGGAGATGCTTTTGTTGCATGGACTGTTGTTTCTTTCAGAATTCAGAGTTGAATAAGGCCACAGAACCAATTACTGATTATATTCACTTCTGTAGTATGCCAACAACAAATCACACATAACCAGAGAAGTTCAAAGCTGTATAAATCAGAAAAGGTAAGTCATCATAAAAACGGGTCGAACTGGATCAATGACTGCTACAAAGGCCCTTTACATTCTATTGAAGGAAGCCATGATGAACATAGAAAGGCATTGGTAATGATAGCAGGCATCTTTGGGACACAATAAAAATATGAACTCCACCAAGAATCAGAATGAGAGTTCCGTGGATGATATGAATTAATATTTCACAAGGCGTAACTCTAAAAGTAGCTGACTGTGATCAAATTAGGTTTGAATCTGAATTGTTGGACTGCATCTGGAGGTACCTTAACTATAGAGGACAACCAGGTTAAAAGTGTATTTAGTAGGGTTCCAAAAATAAAGCAGCAGGGCCTGATGTGTTAACATCATCCATGTAAAGAACGGCACAACCGAACTGTCAGAAGCATGGACCACTATCAAAGTCCACAAAATGTACCATTCCAACACTGTGGAAGAAATCTATTGTTATTCCAATTGCTAAAGCGAGCTGCACCAATTCAGAACAAGACTTTAGACCAGTGGCACTAACCTGCATCGCTATGACGTATCTGCAAAAAAATATGATTGAATACTTAAAGGAAGAGGAGGCACCCAGCCTCGATCCAAGTTGCATATAGGCAAGGTCGTAGCACAACTGATGAGTAGTTAGGGTGTGCCACTTTATCTTGGAAACATACACTACAGGCCAAAAGTGTGGACACACCTTCACATTCAAAGTGTTGTCTATCTTCATGACCATGAACATTGGGAGATTCTCACTGAAGGTATCAGAACTGTGAATGAACACGAGGAGTTACGTACTTAACCAACACAGGTGAAATAACTGAAAAAATGTTTTATATTCTATTTTTTTCTGAATAGCAACCCTTTGCTCTGATTACTGCATTACACACTCTTGATGAGCTTCTAGAGGTAGTCCTTCAAGACTGCTGGAAAACCATTTCAGGTGTCTACCACACGCCCTTTTGTGTAACTATGCTGCTGCTGCCTCTCTGTTTAACTCGTTTTTCCAGTGTACTGCTGAGCTGATGAATATAGCTACCTCAACATATTATAAAATGACACGTTAAAACAGACTTTTATTTTGAAGGCCTGGCATCAGAGCGCGCGTTTCCGGGATGGTAACGCTAACGGCTAATGCTGAAGAAAAGAAGTGACCCAACTGTATCGGTCCACCGTCTGCTGACCACTCCGAACCGACACGTAACTTTCTCTCATGCTGCGGTTCCGCTGAAGAAGCATCTGGAAGCTGCTCGTGCACACGCACAGTCTCCATGGCTACAGAGGAATTCTACGAGGTAATACGGGCTAATGCTAACATGCTAACCGTGAAGTTTGTGAAGTTTGTAGGCAAGATAAGTTAAGTGGCTAGTAAGCAGCTGCGCGACTAGTTACAGCGAATCAGAGGAGATTAACGTCATCCAACCACATTCTATGCGATTAAAGCGTAAAAAACGGAAGAAAAGGAAAAAGTGCACCACACAGCAGTAAAAGCAGCTGTAGCAGGTAATCTAAAGTGAAGTTCACTAGTTCATGCAGCTGCAACTGGTAGTAACCTGGTTACTCCTGATGAATGCTTTGTTGGTTAGCTGCTGGCTCTCTTTATCTCCGGCATAATTTCCAGCCCCTACTTCCGGTTATTGTGATGATTCTGGATGCAGATAATCATCCTTCAGTGTCTCCTCAAATCAGATCAACAACAAATACCTGGTGGACAGGTGAAGTTACGACTGGACTGTTAGCATCCTCCTGCTAACCAGTGGTTTTTGTCCACAGGTGGAGACAATCGTGGACAGGAGGAGGAACAGGAAGGGGAAGATAGAGTACCTGGTGAGGTGGAAAGGTTATGGCCCAGAAGGTGACACCTGGGAGCCGGAGAGTCACCTGTCCACCTGCATGTCCTATGTGGATGAGTTCAATCGTTTCTTCACCGAGCGGCAGAAAGGCAGCACCTTACTGCGCTCCACTCGCAGCCATCTCAATAGCTCCTCCCACAAACGTTCCTGCGGGCCGCCGCCTCTTGCTGCCCGCAGTGACCCAAGCTGTGATGTTAGCAGAGGACACCCTGGAGATCCCGCTCAGGTGAGAACACCTCTCAGCCCTGATCACCTTCCCCGCCCTGTCTTCGTTGGTCCACAACAGGCCCCACCCACTGACAGCTACAGCAGCCCCCTGGTGCCGGTGACTCCAGCTGGCCCGGCCCGCCGTAGTGTGGATCTTTCTAAGAGTGGGATCAAGATCCTGGTTCCAAAGAGTCCCATGAACTCGCGACTAGACTCGGAGGAATCCCCCAGCGAGGCTGGAGCTCAAGAGGCTCACCTGGTTCCACCTGAAGTCGCCCTGCTGGAAAAACCTGCAGGAGTTCAGTTGGGCCCTGGAGAGGAAAGGGCCCGAATGGGGACCAGACCCCGGAACCTGAACCCACTACCCCCACCCACAAGGGCCCCTGTCAACCTGGCTACGCACCCCCTCAGTGGTTCAGAATGGTCCAGACAGACCGCAGGTAAGAACTGCTGGTTAATCTGTTCACCTGTCAGGTAATCAGTTAATGAGTTCACCAGCTGGTTAAGCAGCTGGTTTTGCTCTGCGTGTTGGTCTATAGTAGCCTGACAAGCCAGACTAAATAAATGTATTATTTAGTCTGGCCATGCTCCATTGACTGCTCTCGGTTGTGGGGCGGGTTCTACCGTTGTCTTTCAAATGATCTCCACATTCCACTGGACAATGAATGTGACATACTCTTGTTTCACTCTGTTGCATCATCCCACCCACCAGGCATATAGAGAGCCCTGATTGGCCCACAAAGCGGATAAAGCTCTGTGATTTGTTCACTAAGCAGATAGAGCACTATGATTGGCCCACCATTATGGACCAATCACAGCTCTTTATGTGTTTGAAACCCCTCTAGAGAGCTGTGATTGGCTAGCCAGAGTCCTGGTAGGAGCTGCTGAGGTTCCAATGGCGCATGCCTAGACCATTCTTTGCAAAGCAAGAATTTGGTCTAGTTCACTAGGCTAGGTCTATAGTGCCTTACAGACATGAAACATGGCATCAAAGCACTTTACAGACACAATAAGAACAGTAGCATAACTTAGTATAAAAACTAACAATGAGAGAAGTAGGTCTTTACCTCGTTTTAAAAAATCAATCAATCAAAGCTTTATTTATAAAGCGCCTTCCGCGACCCTGTCGGGATGCCCAAGGCGCTGAACATGGTACATATGAGAAATGTGAAACGTGATGAATAAATCGAAAATAAAAGCAATTCAAATACTGCAAAAAAGGTAAAACATTAAAGTAGAAACTAATGGGTAAAACAAGGGATAGAGAGACCAATGAAAACAGGGAAATAAAATTAAAAAAAAAGTGGGCCAAATTCAAACACGTTCAGGGAACGCCAAGCGGAGGAGGTGGGTTTTTAGGCGACTCTTAATGACTGGCAGAGATGGGGGCAGCCTAACTGAGGGTGGCAAATGGTTCCAGAGTGACGGTGCTAGGACTGAGAAAGCCCGGTCCCCACGAGTGCGACACCTAGAACGAGGGACAGCGTGCAGGCCTTGGTCAGAGGAGCGCGTGATGGGGAATGTCTGTTCAGGAGTGTGGCTAGATAGGGGGGAGCACCACCCTGGAAGAAATTGTAAACAAAGACGAGGAGTTTAAAGTGTGAATGATAACAGACCGGAAGCCAGTGCAGGGAGGTCAGAACCGGAATGATGTGGTCCCGTTTCCTGGTCCCAGTCAGGAACCTGGCTGCCCTGTTCTGCACAACCTGTAGGCGACACAGTGATGACTGACACAACCCTGCATAGAGAGTTGCAGTAATCAAGCCTAGAAATTACAAAAGCATGGAGTACCCGCTCCAGGTGGGCTCTCGACAGCATAGGCTTGATTTTTGCAAGGCGTCTCAGATGAAAGAAACTGGACCGGATCACAGAGTTGATGTGAGCATCAAATTTAAGGCCTAGTCCACACATAGCCGGGGTTTTTTAAAAACGAATACCCGCCCCTCCAAAAACTTGCATCCACACCACCGCGTTTTAAAAACAAACTCTGTCCACACGTTGTTAAGGACATGCCAGACCTGTAGGCGGCAGAACTTTCCCCGTTCTTAACCTCGTCCTTCGTCTGTGGTCTTCCGCAAGGAGCAGTAATTCCGCTTGCAAAAACAAACAAGCAGAAAGCGCTTGGACAATTGATGGATCGGGTAGTGACAGAGCGCAGCTCTGAAGGCTTCCATGATGCCGGCTAGTGTAAACACAGGTCGCACACGTGATGTCAGCATTTTTTTGTCGCGGAAAGTGACGTTGTGGACCTTAAAACTCCGGTTTTGTCCGTCCACACGCAGACACCCAAAACGGAGAAAACGCAGATCTTCACTTTGGCCGGAGTTTTTGAAAAGATCCGTTTTCGTGTGAAAAAACTCCCGTTTTCGTGTGGATGACAGGCCAAAACGTAGGAAAATATCTACGTTTTGGCAGATCCCCGGCTACGTGTGGACAGGGCCTCAGTCCAGCGTCAATTTTCACCCCCAGATTGGTGACAATTGGTTTTGAGTAGGGAGAAAGAGGGCCAAGATCAACATAACGACCCACAGCCCTGCTGTTTGGGTGAAAAATAATGAGCTCTGTCTTTCCCTCATTCAGATGCAGATAGTTGGTCATTAGCCAAGACTTTACCTCGTTAAGACAGGACACAAAGGACTTGATAGAGAGACCTTTCTCCTGACACAATGGAGAGTAAATCTGGCGATCGTCAGCATAGAGATGGAACACTAGGCCATGTTTACGAAAGATTGACCCCAGAGGAAGCAGATAAATTGCAAACAAAAGAGGACCAAGGATCGATCCCCGAGGGACCCCCAGCCCAAGAAGAAAAAACATCACCCAGTTTAACACAGAATGTCCTGTTGTGGAGATACGATCTAAACCAATCCAGAGCAGACTCTTTGATCCCAACCCATTGTTCCAAGCGATCAAGCAGAATCTCGTGGTCAACCATGTCAAAGGCTGCCGTCAGATCTAACACAGAAGCATCACAGATGTACCCTGATCTAGTGATAGATGTCATTTAAGACCCTCAGTAGAGCTGACTCTGTGCTATGGCCAGACCTGAACCCTGATTGGAAAACCTCAGACAAATCAGAGTCAGCTAAATGTGAGACCAGCTGCTGATAAACAACTTTCTCAAGCAGTTTTGGTGTAAAAGGCAGGGTAGAGATAGGCCTGTAATTTTCTATCACAGAGACATCAGCACCAGGTTTCTTCAGGGTTGGCCGAACAACTGCTGCTTTCAAAGCAGCTGGGACCACACCTGTGCTGAGGCTCCCATTGATAATCTGACCAAGTAATGGGCCAAGACACGTAAAGGCAGCCTTCCAGAGACGAGGCGGCAGAACCTCAAGTGGAGAGCCAGATGGCTTCTGCCTTGTAACAAGCTTACTCAGCTCAGAATAAGAAACAGTATTGAGGGAGCTCAGGGTGTGTGGTGATGGAGGAACTGGAACAGGGTCAATAGTTACCAGAAATACCTGCTCTAATGCCTGATACTTTATGAACAAAGAATTTGTGAAAATCTTCAGTGTTTCCAGCAGCTGTAGTGGACATGAAGCTAGGCTCCTGATACACCAGAACAGAGTTCAGTGTTTTGTAGAGAATCTTGGGATTCTTGGAGTTTTTTTCGATGATGTCTGCAAAATAGGCAGTTCTAGCAACTCTCACAGCATCCTGATAAGCAACAAGAGATGCTCTGAACAACTCACGCAAGACTTGTAGGCCATCCATTTTCCACTTTCTCTCAGAGGATCTACACGCCCGCCTACAAGCCCGTGTGACATCAGAGAGCCAAGGCTCCCTCCTAGGCCTAGACTTGCAAAGCTTGAGAGGGGCAACCACGTCCAGGACCTGATTACAAAGTAAATCAAAGTGTTGTGAATAGTGATCAATGTTAGACGGATCTGGGTTAAAGGTCTCTAACCTTACAGACATACAGCCCACAAACTTTGCAACAGTTTCTGCATCCAGGGCTCTGAACCTAGTAGCTGGAGCTTCACACACAGGGACAGGACATAGCAACGTAACATCACAGAGTATTGGAGAGTGGTCAGAGAACACAGGAGGCAAAGTCACAAGCTTCATGACAGGGAGACCGAAAGAGAGAACCAGGTCCAGGGTGTGACCCCTGGCATGAGTTGGGGATGATACCCATTGAGTTAGATTGAATGCATCTAGCAAATTCAAAAAACCTTTAGCAAGCACATTGTCAGGACAGCAGATATGGATGTTAAAATCACCAAAAAATAGGACATAGTCATATTTTAGGATGCAGTCTGCAAAAAGATCACAGAAATCATTAAGGAAGTTAGAGTCAGTCTTTGGAGGGCGGTAAATCAGCACAACGAGCAGGCGGGGTGGGGTATGCACAGTTCAAATAGGCGCAGTTCAAAAGAAGAAAATGACATGGTGGGTGTAAGCTGTTTACAAGGAAAGCTGGATTTTAAAACGACAACCAGCCCTCCACCTCTGCTCCGTGATCTGGGGATATTAAAGCAGGAGCAGCCAGGTGGTACCAGCTCCAGCAGGGCGCTTGAGTCACCAAACGGGATCCATGACTCACAGATGCACAGAAAACTCAAGTCATGTTGAATAAAAAAATCCTGAAGAATAAAAGTTTTGTTCAGCACAGAACTGGCATTGACCAGACCAAACCGGGTCTGCTGCGAGGCCGCAGCACCGGGATCGCGCACGGGCACCGTCTCCTCCAACTCTGAGCCCGTAACCGAGCGTAGATTCTCCCAGCAAACCCCACTCTGGCGAGGTCCTCGAGCCGACTGGTTGTGGTGTGGTGCCAGCTCACCCTCAAAGCCGGCCAAGTTCACAAGGCAGGGCGCAGAGGAAACCATCAGAGGTCTCGGAACCACCGGGTCACTAGCTGGGCCGAATCAGACCAGTTGCTTCTTCAGGGATCCAGGAAGTCCAGCCCGACGTCTCACACGCCGGCTACCTCGCTTTCTCAGTATCCTCCGATGCTTCCTTCTCGAGCTGGGGCGGACAGAGGGTCGACACATCACGGCTTGGGGGGAGAGAGCACACGGGCAGTCCAAACAACAACGCCATCCGTGAGGTTCCCAGTGCACAGCGCCCGCTACATCAATAGGAGGACAAAGCCTCAGCAGCACAGCTCGATCATGTCACCAGAGAAGCCACACCATTAAAAAAAAATCATCAGAGACAACAAAAATACATCAAAGCCAATAAAACGCAAGGTTCCATTGCGTAAAGAGGATGAGCAGCTCGCTGCGTCCACCCGCGCGAGCGCCATCTGAACTACACTCAAAAAACTCTGAAAAGGCCACAGAAGTAGAAGCTCTTATGGACAGAGGAAGCTTGTTCCAAAGCTTCAGGCCAGCCCCTGAAAAGGCTCTATCCCCTCTTGATCAGGTGTGATCTAGGGACCCAAAGTAGCAGAAGATTCTCAGAACCAGGTGTCCGAGTCGGGGCATGTTGCCGTAATAGGTTCTGCCAGGTATGGCAGCGCCAATCCATTCAGAGCCTTGAAGACCAGTCAAGAAGTTTAAATTCTAGAAACCACGGACAACCAAAGTAGCAGCCAAAATCGGGTTGACATAGTCCAACGTCCGCTTGATCTCTAAAACCTTGGTCCAGTCAATATTGTGTTGGGCCAATCACTGCGCTCTATTGCTTTAGTGGTATGTTACTGCCACTAAGCGACAAAACAACAAAGACGAAGGCGATTGCTCATTAGAAACAGCTTTGGCATCAACGTTGGAATTTTTAGACTTGGGGTTATTTCCCAATGTCAAGGAACCTTGCCTTGATGTCTTGGTTTCACCCCAGTTGCTTAGGAGCTACGTCATTAGGAACCGCCGAGGTGCGGTCCAATCGGTTCCAATGTTCGTGTGCTACAGAGGCGTCTGTCCTTCGTTTTTTAGCTGTCTAGCTGCTAGCTGACCAGGGATACGTGGGAGGTATCTTGTTGTCCTCTCTCTGTCAAAAATTTCCCAGAATACAACGCAGTACTTTCAGGAGGATGGCGGATCAGGAGCCAGCAGCTACTTTGGGGAAAAAATAAATGTAAGTTAGTCAACTAGTTGTAGCAGTTGTTGTTATATCCAAAGTAGTTATCTATGGCGGGTTAGGTACTAACTCGCTAACATATTTAATTTAACCAATTAGGGCTGCAGCTATCGAATATTTTTGTAATCGAGTACTCTATCGAATATTTTTTTCGATTAATCGAGTACTCTAATAAATTACCCTTTTGTGTTTGTAAACCATTATATCAAATAGCATGTTATAATTATGAAAGACCTCTTAAAATGAGCAAGCAGTTGCCAGTTATTCTTCAAGTTTTTTTCAAAATTAGTTTGCAAAACTTCAGCACTTCAACTTTACTTCACAGTAAACAAATGCCTGTGCAAAAAATAAGTACACAACCTGAGCCGATTTTCCCCTCGTGCGAGAATCTGCTAGCCTGCAAGCCAGAGGATAACTGTTGACGTAGCGCTGCGGCCGGCTGCGGCCCAAACAGAACCAGAACTGCTCACGGCGCATGCGCAAACAGCTCGCCGGCTGTTTCCCTATTAACACACGTCCGTTTTAATTTCAACACTTTTTTTCTCACACAATAACAAGGATTGTCGAGAAAGCATGTTTGCCGTGGTTTTGTCAAATTATACTGATCACAAAACATTTATTTACTTTCTTTCGTTTTCCTCTCATAAATACCAGTCCTCCTGCAGCAATCCCGAGGGACAACAAATATCAATAACAACACAGTAAAAGTCCGACGTTTTGTGTAAAAATGCTATTTTTTAGCACATTTTAAGTCCGACGTGTTTCTACCAGACGTACGGTGTGAGCTGAAACTTGAGTGCTACAAACGAAAAAGTCGCACAGTGTCCGCAGAATATATAGAAATACAGGCTAAAAAGCATTATCTTGTAGAGGCTCCGAGTTCGCTTGCAGAAGTGACATTTACAGCTGCTGCAGCACGGAGGATGTGGTGTTGTGGTAGGCTAAATCCATTTTACAGTATTTTCACTGGACTACAATTTCCACCTTACGACGTGAAAAATGGTCCCACATCTTGACATTTTCTGTCTTTTTCGCACTCCACCGGGGTCCACATTGTCCGCCATAGCTTAAGAGAAAGTTAAGTTACATTCCCTACTCGCGTGTGCGATTCAGTCCAGTGGGCATGTGCGTCACTTATTTCAGTCCGGGTGAAACATGACCACGGGCGACTGCAAAGCCATGAATTAATTAAATATGAATTAAACGAATCCTCGAGGCAGAGAATTTGACTCGAGGATTTTTTGTACTCGAATTATTCGAGGTACTCGAGGAATCGTTTCAGCCCTATAACCAATATAAACACAATTATAACACATTTATATTGAAACGTATACACATTAAATATAACTTGGCCTTACGAGTGACATGATCACGGCTCCTGTGAGGTAAGTCTGTTTACCGTTAACCGTTTTCTTTGACAAAGGAAGGACAGTGTCCTCACGGCGTCAGGCGCCTGGCCTTTGGGAAACACCCATGAGCTTTTCTTTGTCCACAGCAGGTAGAGGTACTTAGTCCTTCATTCAGAAGAGGGATGGATGTACTTGAGTCTTCTTTGATCAAGTATGGCGGGCTGCCTCGTTGACTGACATCTGTTGCTGAGAGTATGTCACGTTGTCCAATAGCATGTGGAGACAACCGTAGGCCCCGCCCCATAACGGAGCTCTGTATGGGGCGTGTCCAAACTTTAAATTCATGTTTATGGGATGGATTTAAATTCTTACCTCTTAAGTTTCTTTCATAGTTTTAGTCAAACAAGCTCATTTATTTTGAGGGTGGGAGGAGGGAGAAACAAAGGGGATCTCTTTTGTGAATCTGTGTGGGAGGGGTGGGAAACCGACTGCTGTCTGGTTGTTTTTAATATTGTAAAGCGCTTTGAGCTGCATTTGCATGAAAAGCGCTTACCAGGTTAAGCTGTAACTGCTGTCTCAGCCACAAGTTCTCAGACTCTGAGGTGAGGACGTGCAGACAGGAGGATGGAAACTAACCCCTTCTTTCCACCGGATGAGAAACGTACTACACGGTAACTAGTAGCCAATGAAGTGAGTGGGTTCCTTCACCAGCAGCCACAGGTGGCTTTGTGGACATGTCCCAGAAGGAATGTATGCCATTGTTACGTTTCAAGTCTATATTTTACACGCTGTGCTTTCAAACACGGCAAACTCCACAGTTCAGATCGAGCCAGACAGGAAGTCAAACACAAAAGCAGTGTAAAACATCTGGAAACTTTCAAAATAAAAGTAACATCCAGTACGTTCAAACCCCGTAGCCGGTGCAAACGGAAGAGTCCTTTTTGGAGACATGCAGTCGTCTTTCTCCGAGCGTTTTATTGTGTGGATGTATGAAATAACGCGCAGTGTTGCAGTTCTCCCATTATGTTTTGACCTCACGGGATCAGCTGTGTGGAACGCTTTCGCTCCTGCTTCACATCAGAATCGTTTCCGGTTGGGAATGAGCTTGCAGGGAAAACGCAGCTTTTACATTTCTCCACGTTTCTGTGGCCGGTGGAAAGCCGGGTAAGTTCATCATCAGGCCTCTCTTCCCTCTGAAGCTCGTCTCTGATCTGGAGCCCGCCTCCCCAGGAAGTAGGTCACTAACAGCCACTTCCTCCTGGCTGCAGGCCTAGAGCAGTTGGTTTCATGCTGCAGATAAGAACACGACCTTCAGGTCACAGATGTCTGCTCTAGTCCTCCACTCGCACTAGAGTGGAGATTCTGACTGATTACTTCTGCGTTGGGACAAAACACAGAGTCCTGTCCACAGACACGCGTAATGGCCAGCTCGGGACAGGTGTGTTGGGACAGGTGTGGTGGGTAAAGCCTGGTTTATGCTTCTCCGCCTGCGTCAGTGCGGAGACACGCAACGTCCTTGCGTAGGGCTCCGGCAGGCACGCAAGTACGTACGGAGTCGAGCCCACTTTTTTAAATATCTGTCGAACGAGACGGATTACGCAAGCTTGTGATTGGTCAGGACGCAGCTGTTGTTTACAGCGCCGCCATTGCAAAGAGAGCCGAGGATAACTAGCGGCAGACACGGAGAAGCTTGAAGAATACCTCGCGAAAAAACTCTAAAAATATGAACGTTTCATCCTCCCGTGACTGGAGGAGTGAAAAGATGTGCAGCAAGCATTTTATTTGTGGACGGAAATGACAGGAAACGTGGGTTTAGAGGTGGGGAGCGCATGAAGCGGTGGGAGAATGAGAGACAAATATGTCCATGTTAAAAGTGTCTTATATACACAAAAAACACAATATAAACACACTATCTTGGACCGATACATGACAGGATACCACAGAACAGCGCTACGCCCTCTGTTGTCCTGCCGGGCAATTGCTTTGCAACACTCCCCAGGAGACGGAGAAGTAAAAGAGCAAAATGCTTCCGTCAATCTGTGCGTGTCTGTCCCTTGCGGAGCTGACGGAGAAGCATAAACCAGGCTTTAGTGTATGGTGCACCTACCTGTATGACACCGGTTTGAATCCCAGTCTCAGCAGCACCTTTGGCCTGACATTCCGTTTTAGAGATTTGAAGCCTTTATTGGTTAAGTGTCAAATAAAAGGACTCATCTGGTTTCTACTACTTTTGTTTATGTAGCTAGTTAATGAGTCAGTAAGAAATGACAAAGTCTTTCTCTCCAGGACATGCTGGACCTACAGAGGCTTTTGCCCCCAGTGGGATGTCCTCTGGTTCCAGTGCTGTTACCGGGATAACCAGCGTGATGGGGAAGCGGCGCCTGGAGGAACGCTCCACCTTCGATAAACGTCTGAGGTTCAGCGTCCGTCAGACAGAGAGCGCCTACCGCTACCGTGACATTGTGGTGAAGAAGCAGGATGGCTTCACTCATATCCTGTTGTCCACCAAGAGCTCTGAGAACAACACGCTCAATCCTGAGGTAAGGCCACAACTACAATGCCATGGTGGTCAGAGGGTGAGTAGATTCACTTAGACCACACCCACAAAAATCTATCAGCCAATTCAGGGTACATGGCCTCCTCTTGACCACACCCGCAACGTGCTTAGAACTGTTGGACTGGTTATTTCAGGTGATGAAGGAGATCCAGAGCGCCATGGCGACAGCGGCGTCTGATGACAGTAAACTGGTTCTGCTCGGTGCAGTTGGCAGTGTCTTCTGCTGTGGCCTTGACTTCCTGTCCTTCATCAGACGGCTGACAGACGACAGGAAGAAGGAGAGCATCAGGATGGCTGAAACCATCAGGTGACTCCAGGGAGATGCTGAGTGATGTCCTCCTCACCTTGTCCCTGTCTCACATCCTGTCCTTATCTTCAGGACCTTCGTAAATACCTTCATCCAGTTCAGGAAGCCCATCGTGGCAGCAGTGAACGGGCCGGCGCTCGGTCTCGGTGCTGCCCTCCTGCCACTCTGTGATGTAGTGTGGGCCAATGAGAAGGCCTGGTTCCAGACGCCGTACACGTCCTACGGACAGACACCAGACGCCTGCGCGTCCTTCACCTTCCCTCGTGTCATGGGTCTCGCAGCGGTGAGTCTCCTCCTCACTGTTCCTCTGACTTCTTCTCCTCGCCCTTACTCTACCTCTGACCCCTCCCCAGGCCAGTGAGCTGCTGCTGGGTGGCAGGAAGCTGACGGCCATGGAGGCGTGCTCTAAAGGTCTGGTGTCCCAGGTTCTGTGGCCCGGAACCTTCACACAGGAAGTGATGCTGCGGGTCAAAGAGCTGGTGGCTGTCAACACGCAGGTTTGTCTTCCCCCCCCCCCCCACCCCCACCCACACACACACACACACTAAGCTGATTCTGGTTCTGCAGGTCCTACAGGAATCCAAAGGCCTGATGAGGAGTGCCAGCCGTAGTGCCCTGGAGCAAGCCAATGAGCGTGAGTGTGAAGCTCTGAAGAGAGTGTGGGGATCCTCACAGGGAACCGACTCCATCCTGCAGCATCTGCAGAGAAGAGCCGATCTCTTCTAGAACCAGGACCAGTCCTGTTTTCCGTTTCAGGACGTGGACATGTCTCGTCTCACTCGGTTATTTATTGTTATTCAGGATATAGACACATCCCGGGTTCCTCAGGCCCCACAGCAGACTTGAGTTCCACCTTTCCATCCTGGTTCTCTACAGAACATGCAGGTTCATGTTGTCTTGCTGGGCCGTTGCTGCTTGGGTCAAGTTCTCCAAGTGCTTCAGGTTGATGGCTAAACCGGGCCTCGGGTCGCTGCTGGTCCAGAGGAGAGTCATGCTCTAGCAGTGATGAATTCTGGGTAAGGGTATCTTCCTTAGGTTGAGATCATGTGACTCTGTACTGCAGTGCTGGTCTCCTGGCAGCAGGTGTGGCTTGGTTCTGCCGGTACCAGTCCGTTCAGCTGATTTGTTGCTGTGCTGAGCAGTCTAAAGAAGTTCTGCTCAGATGGAGCAGAGCCGTTCTGACAGCAGAACTTCTACATGTAATAGAGAATAAAGTCCAACAGAACTTTTCCCTGTTCTGGAAAAAAAACGACTGTTTTATTCTCTAATCACACATGAGCCACGTTACCAAGGTAACACCACATGTCCACGAGCCACGTTACCAAGGTAACACCACACTTCCACGTGAACCACATTACCACGGTAACACCACATGTCCACGTTACCACGGTAACGCATCACTGGGATCACGACAGGAAGCTGTTGTTAAATTGTTGTTTTATTTTCAGGTTTACTCATAAATCGGGAGACATTCTGCTCTGAGGTCAAAGGTTACAATCCAAAGAAAAACTCAGGTAAAGGTTAAAGGTCGCTCCAGGGAGCTATGCAGAAAGAAACCATGCAGCACTGTTGACCCATTTCCTGTCTTGGGGCAGATTTTTTCTATGACAACAGTAATTCATCTTGGTGAGAGGGTATGTGACCCAGAGGTCACCTCATGGTGGACAAGTGTCATATGCTCCTGTGGCCAGGTGGAGGTGGTAGGTGTGGTCAGGGAACATCAGCAAGTTGTAGAAGTTCTCCCCTCCACTCAGAACCCCGTGCTCGTTGTCCCCCCATGATACTGGACTATCGATGAAACCGTGAACCGTCAGTGAAGCCCAGGACTCCAGCTGAGTTTGCTGCAGGTGACACCTGAAGCACAGGTGAGTTATTTTGTCGTCAGCTGTTCAGGTAAAGGTGTGCTTGTGTGAGAGAGCTAACCTGAGCTCCTGGATCAGTCGCTGCACATCGTGTGGCAACAGCAGGCCACAGATGGACACGCTCAGAGCATGACTGAGCACGTCATTGGGCTCTGGACAGGTGAACGATGACAGGAAGCTGCTGGATGAGCTCTCACTGAAACCACAGAAGAACGACTTGTAGTCACAACACTTGGACACGTGACCCTGACTGGACCACTCACCAGCTGATGTCGGCCTCCACAGCTCCAATCCACTCCAGAAGACTGTGACAGTCACATGACCGAAAGTCGGGACAGGTCAGGTCAGTCAGGTGGCGGCAGCTGACCTCAGGTTCGTGTTTGGACCAATCATAACGAGACAGGAGTGGCTGTAGAGAGGCCCCACCCTCTGAGAGGCAGAATGGAGTACAGGTGATACAGTAAAAGAGAATCTGGTCCATAAGTCCAGTTTAGACTGCGAGACCATCTAAAGGCTCAGGAAGCCTCTGCCTGTGTTGTGGATTCATCAGCTGATTGGAGAACATTGAACCTTTACATGATATTCTGAGATGTTAAATGTGGGGTCGTCATCATCTGGAAGCCGTAATCATCACAGGTAGAACAGAGAAAGGCGGAAACATCTGGATTGACAGGATGAGTCTGTCTCATTGATTAGTCTCACCTTTCAGGGTGGATTAGTGACAACAGTGACCTTTACCCCTTGTTCTAGTTTTTATGAGTTTCACCTGTAAGGAGAAGATCACATGTAACCATCCTTAACAATGGTGTGTCTCACCTGGATGATGGGACAGTAGGAAGTCTGTCTGCAGCTGAAGGTGTGACCGAAGACCTGTAAGGAGCCGGGTGTGGCCCCGTCCACCAGGTGCCATGCTGCTGTCCGTCAGGTCCACAGAGACCACTGCAGGAGACATCACACTCGGTTGGTTTCTGGTTCTGTTCAGGCTGAGCTCAGCAAACAGGTCAGGACTGAACAACCCGGACCTGAGTCAGGAACATCTGGACATTCTTTCCTGCAGGTTCCTTCTAGTGAGGATAAATTCACCCTAAAACTCCACCCAGTGTCCTGGCTCTGCTGCTGTTTAGTCAACTGGCTTTTTTAGGCTACCGCACGGGTCCCTTCACACCTGGTACCTGGAGACCCAACACCTATAGTCCTGGGACTTCCTTTAGAAAGCTGCTTCTGCACAAAACGGGTCAGAAAACGGTGTAAGGGACTTTCTACGCAAACCGCGCGGTTTATACAGAAACGCTTGACAGAAAATGTGGAAACTTTAAACAAACTTTGGATCTGGAGACGAAAATCGTGTCATCACAGCTGGTGATATGGTGACATGTTTGACCAGAGTGATGAAGGTCTGCAGACCTACCAGAGACCTGACCAGAGTGATGAAGGTCTGCAGACCCACCAGAGATCAAACTGATGAAGGTCTGCAGATCCACCAGAGACCAGACCAGAGTGATGAAGTTCTACAGACCCACCAGAGATCAGACTGATGAAGGTCTGCAGACCCACCAGAGATCAGACTGATGAAGGTCTGCAGACCCACCAGAGATCAGACTGATGAAGGTCTGCAGACCCACCAGAGACCAGACCAGAGTGACGAAGGTCTGCAGACCCACCAGAGTGATGAAGGTCTGCAGACCCACCAGAGACCAGAGTGACAAAGGTCTGCAGACCCACCAGAGACCAGACCAGAGCGATGAAGGTCTGCAGACCCACCAGAGACCAGACCAGAGTGATGAAGGTCTGCAGGATCGATCTGGACTTGGTGACCTTTAGAAAACAAAAGTAAACCTGACCAAATCTGCTGCAGGTTCTGTGGTTGAATCTGGACGGTTTCCCCTCAACCCCCAGAAGTTCGTACGAGTCTTTGTCCAGAGACAGAACCAGACGTCCTGCAGGGACCAGAGGAACCACTCAGTTTTTTTCATGTTGCACTGAAGAAGTCAAAGCTGTCGCCTGTTTTACCTTTTGGCATCAAAGCAACACAGGTATCTTCATCGATGCGAGTCCCAAAGGACAGACCATACACAACACCTGAAGAAGGTTCAGACAAGTGTGTACAGGTAAGTACTAAATAACAAGTACACACAGGTGTGTACTGATAACTAAATGGTATATACAGGTGTTGTGTTACCTTGGTTTATGGCACCCTGCAGGCCTGGGTCCAGCAGCTCGTGTACTGGTAGCTTCTTGATCAGGTAGAAACTGCTGAAGGTGTTCATCACCAAGTCCAGGTTGGAGGGGGTGACGCTACACCCAGGCAGCAGTACAGATACCTGCACAGATGAACCCAGTCAACAGAAGGTAGCACGACTTTGTGATGCTGCAGGTAGAAGCAGCAGGAACTGGACATCACCTGGACCCGTACCTGGCAGCAGGGTTCTGTTATTATTTTCACCTATCTATTCAGCAAGTACCCGGATGAGAAAAGTTTATACTTCAGTTGCCTCGTGACTCAGATGTCGGTGCAGCGATGCGCGCTCCCGCGACAGGGCATGCACGGCATGGGCAAAACACTGGCTCGTCACAGCACGTGCACGCGCAGCTCTCACCTTGTGGTTGAAGTGCAGCTTCTCCACCTGAGGGCTGACCCGGTTCTTCTCGTCCAGGAAACTGGACCGATCACAGACCAGCAGAGTCCGAGGAGTCCGGTCCAGATCCGAACACATATTCACGGTACCCTCGTCGAGACCGGATCCAGACGAGAACCCGTTAGCATGAAACCAAACGGAACCGCGGAAGTTCTGGATGTTCTACAGGTTCTGTAGAGCTGAGCAGGAGGATGTCGTGCTGTTTTCAGAGCCTCGTGGGTCCCCGTAGTCACGTGGTCTATGCCGGAAGTGAAGCAAACACGCGGTGGTGAAAGCGCGCTCCGGTCCGAACCTAGGGTAACCCGAGCAGAACTTGGTCCTGGTTTCTGTTTATTCACGTGACATCATGGTGGAGGTGGCTGCCGTACCAGGGCAGTTTGATGACGCGGAGGAGGACAACCGGTATGTTGTTATTTGTGACGTATTGGATCAGAAACGTGACCTAATGAGAACGGTCCTGCTCCGGTGTTGTACTGATGTCGGTATCCCAGGTAGAACGTGTACTCTGCGTCGGGAACGCGCGCCGTTTCTAGCTAACCACGTGTTTAACCTGCGTAAATAAAGATTAGGTTTGTTCTGTGGGTGACTACCGGAAGTGATGCATTTGTTGGAGTTCTACAGGTGAACAGCTTTGTTTTAAACACTATTGGCTCTTATTGTTTCTCGTCATCATGAAGTTCAGTCAGCTGTAGACAAAAACACCAGAGAACATCCATCTGCTGATCAGCAGCCAGGCCCAGGCTTCCCTCTCCCCAACCACCTGGGCCAGCTCCTCCGGGGGATTCCCAAGGTGTTCCCTGGCCAGCTGAGAGACATAGTCCCTCTAGCGTATCCTGGGTCTTCCATTAGGTCTCCTCCTGGTTGGTGTGCCCGGAAAACCTCACCAGGTCCAGCAGGCATCCTAACCATATGTGGAGAAGCAGAGGATCTACTTCGAGCCCCTCCACATTTCTCACCCTATCTCTAAGGAGGTGTCCAGCCACCTCACAGAGAAAATGCATTTAGTCCGCTTGTATCTGCGATCTCATTTTTTCGGTCACTGCCAAAGCCCGTGACTGTAGATGAGGGTTGGAATGTAGATAGATCAATAAATTAAGAGCTTTGCCTTCTGACTCAGCTCTGTCTTAACAATGGCAGACCAGTACAAAACCTGCATCACCAATCCATCTATCGATCTCACGCTCCATCTTTCCTTCACTCGTGAACAAGACCCCGAGATACTTAAACTCTTCCACTTGGGGCAGGACCTCATCCCTGACCTGGACAAGGCATTCTACCCTTTTCTGACTCAGGACCATGGTTTCACCAAACTCCTTCCACTCCTTGAATAAAATACATGGATAAACAGAGCTTACGAGGACTTCCAACATTCAATTCAGTTTATTTCTATAGCGCCAAGTCACGACCAGTCGTCTCAAGGACCTTCACATAGTAACCATTCCAGTACAGGTCAGGGGTCTCATCTATAAAACATAGCATAGAATTCTTACTAAAACTGTACTTAAACTCAGCAAAAAAATGTACTTATGCCAAGTAGGTTTGTGATCTATAAAATATGGAGTACGCACAATTGCACACAATCTCCGCTTTATGAATCAGAGACTACCTAGAAATGTTCTCAGGTGTTTTTTGATCATGTCCCGCCTCCAACACGCCCACTTTCTGCCATTAATGGTCACTGCAAAGTACCTTGTGGATCTCATGCATATACATAAGCCGGCTCGTTGCAGCGCTCCACCATTAACGATGGCGACCGCAGATCAAGGAAGTGCAATTTCACCGAAGCAGAAATTGAGGTACTTGTGGATGAGGCAGAGAAATGAAAGTAAGTGCTTTTGCAAAACAAATAAGAGAAAATCCACAGACTGGCACAGTTTGGGTTTACTTGTTCTGTGTGAAAACGAAGCAGTACAAGTGATAATGCTGCAGGATTTCATAATTTTATCCTTCTCAGCAGCAGCACTGCAGGTGCTCTCCATGTCCAAAATGTGCGTAAGCAAGGTCCTTTGTCCACTTAAAGTTGTGCACATTTTTCTTCTACGGTTTCTTTGATAAATCCCAAAGTTTGCGTGGAAAGTTGCTTACGCAGTTTTCTGACCCCGTTTTGTGCGTAAGCACGCTCTATAAACGAGACCGCTGGTCTATAAGCCAATCAGTCAAAAGTTTCCTATATAAGGAACCCAGCAGGTTGCATTGGGTCACTGACTAGTGTCAGAGTCTTTACAGCAATCCTCATACTAAGCAAGCATGCAGCGACAGTGGAGAGGAAAACTTCCTTTTTACACCCATTAATATCTGGTAAACCGCAGTGGTACACCAGACATTTGCCATGCAGCATCTTTGTCTTCAGTTCAGTTATTTATAAATCACCTTCTACGACCTTATGATGATGTGATGTCTATTTGACATGGATACAGCAATTACATTGGACAAACCAGATGCATTGTTTAGTGTGTTAGCACAAGTGCTAATTTGCAACACTTGTCCATAGAACCTTTCTAAAAAAAGGCCAAGGTGCTGAACATAACCACAAAACACACAATAAATGGTAACTGGCCTGTATTTTTATAGCACCTTCTTAGGGTTCTACAACCTCCCAAGGCGCTTCACAACAGTCAGTACACGCTGGTGGTGATGAGCTACAATGTAGCTACAGCTGCTCTGGGGCACACTGATGGAGGCGAGGCTGCCCAACACAGGCGCCACCGGTCCCTCCGACAACACCAGCAGGCAAGGTGGGTTAAGTGTCTTGCCCAAGGACACAACAGCAGAATTCTCTGGTCGGAGCCGGGATCAAACCTGCAACCTTCCGATTACTGGACAACCTGCTCTACCTCTTGAGCTACTGCTGTCCCTCAATAGGAACAAATATAGTGTTGTGGAACATTAAAAGAAAGATAAAAAAATCTAAGTAATCATTAAAACATTAAGAAAAAGTCAAACTGGCGAAGCACCATGGACCCACACTTCAGTAGGTGGTAGGGCTGCACAATATAACGTAAATATATCATTATCGCGATATCAGCATGCACAATATGCATATCGCAAAGAACAGATAAATAAATGTTTGCCACTAGCGATGGGTACCGAATTCGTTACTTTTTAAGGTACTGACCGAATTCCACAGTACTGACTGAACACATTTTCACGTCAATTGAAATGGTGCCTTGTTTCTGTACCCGTCCTTCATAACGAGAACTTGCCTAGACAGCTGCGTATGCGTAAGAACGTTATGTCGTCGGTCGCTGCGAGCCAGTTGTAAACAGAGCAGCATGGTAGAAAGAACGCACGCTAAAGCTTGGGTCCACTTCACTAAATGTGATGGGTAACTGGGTGATGAAACCAGCGACAACGATCCAAGTGAGACATCCTCATCTTAATCTGCTCCGGTAGGTAAATAAAATGTTTATGATAATGTTAGCTTCCGTTCCGCTAATGGTGCATTCGCTTTCACCTCAGAACTCCGAATTTCCGACTAGAAGAGCATGAACGCGCTCTAAAGTTTGGCTTCACTTTACTAAATGCGACAGGTGATTGGGTGAAGACGAAACCAGTGACAACGATCTAAGTGTGAGGCATCATTGTTTTAATCTGCTCCAGCAGCTAAATAAACTGTTTAAGATAACGTTAGCTTGATATGTTAGCTTCCATTGCCACCATTGTTATCAGCTAATGGTGCGTTCGCTTTCTCCTCGGAAATTCTAACTTCCCAATTGGAAAAATCAAATGAAAAAGGGCGGCAAAAGGAATGAAGATACACAGTAAATTTAGTTCACAGTAAAGATGTTTGCTTCAATTTAATTATCAGCTTATAAAACTACAAGGACGATGTTAAAATACAAACAGTTGTATGTTATTTATCGTGATACTTATCAAATATTGTTATATATTGAGAAAATATATATTTAATTATAAAAGAGAATAAAAATATTAAACACTCAAAAGTATCGAAAATTGGTACCGTTAAGTACCGGTATCGATTCGTAGGTACCGGGAATTAGTACCAAATCGATTCAAATGTCAAAGGTACCCATCCGTATTTGCCACAGATTCTGTCAATCAAACAGAAGTATTATGTGTTTTTAAACAAATCAAATAGAGCTCTTCACCCATTTGGCCAATTGGGTAGGTTCTCATAGGTTAGGTGCCTGCCCCCGAGGCGGGCAGCACTTCATTTTGATGGTTAGCAAACACCTGAGTTAGCTTTGTTTTGTTCTTTCTGCCGACTCTGCTTTTCCCGGGATCCACCGATCGCCTTTTCTTGATCATTTTCTTTTTCCCTTTCCTCACATCTTTTGCTTTTCTCATTTTAATGATTTTATTTCTTTTTATTTTTAATAATTTTTGTTCCTGAGTTAAGTTTTTATTTATCGCAGTGATATCGTCATTGTAATATTAATCTATATTATCGAATATCGCAGGTTTTCCTAATATCGTGCAGCCCTAGTAGGTGGAGATCCCACCGCAGGGCGAAGGGTCTCTAGTGAGGGCCAGTGTGACCTTCAACCCCCCTTCGGTAGGTGGTGGTCCCACCTCAGGGCGAGAGTTATTAGGTGCAGACGCTAGGGCGGTCATTGACCAGAGAAACACCAAACCGGCTGGCCATCTGGGCGGCGTTGTTGTTAACAACTCCTAAGTTAGAAATGAGGTCCTGGGGGAGCTCCATGGGCAGCAGTTGAGTCAGCCGGGTCCAGAGCGTTCACCCACAGACGTCAACAATAGGCATAAAGTGGCTGAGCAGGTCTTCGCCAAACATTAAAGGAAAAGACTCAAGGTCAGACACGAACACTGGGTGTCGCACCAACATGCCACCCACTGAAAGATCAAGGAAAGCCACAGACAACAAGGTCATTGGAGCCGGAGCATAAGGCTGGGCAATACGGCCTAAAATCAATATCGCCATATATTGAGGATTTCACCTGCGATGGACTGGCTTTCTGTCCAGGGCATACCCCGCCTGATTGCCCATTGACCGCTGGAGATAGGCACCGGCGACCCTATGTGGACAAAGCAGGTTCAGACAATGGATGGATGGATGGATGGATGGATGGATAGATGGATGGATGGATTGAGGATTTCACCTCAATAACGATAATCGGACGATAACTACAGGTATGCACAGAAACAAAGGTTGTCCACTAGATGGGGCTGTTATGTGTAATAGTTGAGTCACATTTTTACATGACTCAGGGTGGTACAGCTTCTTAAAGGGACATGAACGTTGCCAACCTACACACATCTTTTCATTTTTTACTATCAAATGGTATTGACATGGGAATAACTATCCCGATAAGTGTCAGAAATTTTGATAACGATAAATTTTCGATTTATTGCCCAGCCCTACCGGAGCGTAAGGACTGATGTCCACGGCGCAGGGTGTGAGTGATAAGACACCACCCTGTCCAGCTGCAGTCAAGCGGTGGTTTTCCTAAAGAGAACGGGACATGATGGAAATGTCTTAGCCTATGTCTAAGATAGCATCACAAGTCAGCTGGTGTGTTCTGGGCGTAAATCCTCACTTCCTTTTGTCACCCACAGAATGAACGATAAAGGAACAAAACTTTATTTTCTACGCCTAGCTAGCTGGAACCTTTGTGCGCTCCGGATGCGGGCTACACATTCTAACAGGGTTACCTATATCGGTACAACACCTGTTCCTGATTGGTTCTTGTCTGACTGTAATTCTGCTTGTTCTGTAGTGACCAACCACAGTGGGTCATGAGTGACATCACTCATCCTTCATTAGAACAGTGGGATGACAGTGGTGATGATGATGATGATGATGATGATGATGATGATGATGATGATGAAGATGATTGGGCGTGGACTTCATCTTCAGATTTGACCAAAAGGGCCAACCGGACTGGCACCAACAGCCAGGTGAGACTGCCACACCATGCAGGTCATTAGATGTTGTTAGTTTGGATCCTTTCTTTGGTTACGGCCATCAGACCGTTGCTATGGTGACTGTCCACTGTTGTTACTGTGGTTACAGCAGATGGCAGGCAGGCCGCTTCTCTTTCCTGTTTGTTGATTTGGGTCAATTTTTGTGTTTCTTTAGGCCAACAGACAGAACCCGTCTAACAGGACGGGTCCGTCTGATAAGGTTCTGAGGAAATACGAACACAAGATCAACCTGGGTAAGCTGACCTCTGACCCCATCCAACTTTGGGCTCTGTTTTTGGTTGGGGTTTTTAATGTGTCACCTGGACTTGTGGTCCTACAGAGATTCCGGTACCACTGAGTTTGTTTTGCTGAAGTGATGCAGTCCAGTAGTTCTGAGGCTGCCCAGAGCAGAACCTTGGTCGGACAGATGAGGTGTGATTAGTTATCGATTATTGATCCTTGTTTCTGCAGATAAACTCAGGTTTGATGACTCTGTGATCAACAAGGTGACTGCAATGCAGAAGCAGAAAGACACAGATACGTATGTTTGACCTCACCTGGTTCTGTTCATCTGTCAGGTCATGTGACCTATCTGGATAATGTTCTGATTGACTGTTGTGTGCAGGTACAGAGTGAAGGACAAATCGGACCGAGCCACAGTGGAGCAGGTGAGTCCCATGGGAAGTTATCATTGGATCAGTGAAGATGGACAATCATCTGATGGTTCTTCTGCAGGTTCTGGACCCACGGACTCGCATGATTCTGTTCAAGATGCTGAGTCGGGGAATCATCTGTGAGATCAATGGCTGTGTCAGTACTGGAAAGGAGGTACTGACCCAAACATCCTGCCCGACCTAACCTCCATCTCAGAACCCGACATAAAGACCCCATTGGACTGGTTCTGTGGGTTTCTACCACTACCACTACTACTATTACTACTGCTGCTGCTGCTATTACTACTACTACTACTACTACTGCTGCTGCTACTACTGCTGCTGCAGCTCATGCTAACACTACTACTACTACTATTACTACTACTACTACTACTACTACTGCTGCTGCTGCTACTACTACTGCTGCTGCAGCTCATGCTAACACTACTACTACTACTATTACTACTACTACTACTACTACTACTGCTGCTGCTGCTACTACTACTGCTGCTGCAGCTCATGCTAACACTACTAATACTACTACTACTACTACTGCTGCTGCTACTACTACTGCTGCTGCTACTACTCCTACTACCACTACTACTACTACTTCTATACTCCTACTGCTACTTTGCTGCTGCTACTGCTACTTTGCTGCTGCTACTACTACTACTACTACTACTACTACTACTACTGCTGCTGCTACTACTACTACTACTAGTACTACTACTGCTGCTGCTGCTGCTACTACTACTACTACTACTCCCGATACAACGTTTTCACTTCCAATACGATACCGATTTTGCGGCCTTCAGTATTGACCGATACCGATCCAATACGATATCAGCACAAATCATACATACTTCTACCTATATTGTAGTGTGGAATGTATTGATCAGGTGATAGTACTCAATTGGAGAACAAGAACCAATAACAGTAAAATCCACCTGTTCAGACCGATATACCCAGTCTCTCCAGAAATACTCAATGATGCCGGCCCATATGTTTTTATGTGGATTTTGGTGCTTAGCCTAACAAGTGGCCAAGCAAGTTCTTGCAGCCACTTAGGCTTAAAGGGACATTATGGAAGTCTGACAGCCAAAACATGTATAGAAATAATACATTTCTTCTTCATACATTCTCCTGCAATGCCCTGGTCCTGTAGAATGAGCCCTGGCATTTTTACTGTGATTGCCTGTTTTTCTGTAAAATCACAGAAGTTGCTCGGGTCGAGCAGGCTGCTTCATGCGCGTTCACGCTCAGGCATAGCCTGTAGCATGTGCTATCCGTAGCTTTAGCAGCAGAGAGAGAGTGCCAACTCAGCGACTTTGTCGCTGTTCCTAACGCCTAGTGGCGAACCTAGCTACATTTCTGAGGACCCTTAGCTACTTTCTGTAGAACTTTCTTCTAGATATTTCCTGCAAATTAGCAACAAAATAGCCATTTTCGCTCCGAACCGTTCTTTGGTTTGACCTTGTTTCAGGTGTCAAGGATATAAAAGTTACAGATACTGTGAATGCTACCTGAGTGTAGCTCACCTTGTAAGATGTCTGACTCCCATGCAGAAGACCTGGGTTCGATTCTGGGTGTGAACATAGTTCATTTAGAGTTTCTTTTTTACATTAATGGTATATTTTTTTACAGTGAGATGCCCAAATTTTTATTTGCGACTCGCCGAACGGCTTTGAATTCACAGATAAAAAAGATGTGGGTTCAACTTTGATTTTGGAACAATTTTTCAAGCAAGCGAAGGGAATGATCTGAGCATGCAGGAGGACTGACCCATCTTAAATCTTTGTCGGCTGTGCTGAAGAGAAAGGTACAGAACCAAATTAATTAATTAGCTGCACGTTCTCCTGTCCTCTGTCCTCCGGGCCACACACACACACACGGGACTGTCTCAGCTGTTATTTTCGTTAAGGAGTGTGCACGTACAGCATGCACGCTTTGTGCACGAGCCTACTATTGAAGCTGCCGTTACGCTTTTGGCCTGAGGGGGTAATCGCGAGCATAAAAATTCAAAAGTCTGTACAGTCCCTTTAAAAGCCACTGGGGTAAACCCTGAAATGTATTAATATTATTTAAGGCTGGGAATCGATTAAAATAAATTAACAAATTAATCGAAAATCTGAAAAAAATTAATCCCAATAAATTATAATTTTGTTCCAGAAAAAGTGAGCAATAAACAAGCAAAAATATACAAGAGAAGTTCATTTTATTTAGAAAGTGCATAACTTTAAAAACGAAAAACAAACATATTCAGGAGTTAGAAGAAATCATTAAGTCTTTACAGGCATCCACAGAAGAAGAGTTACTGAGCAAATTACGTAAAGCTAAATTAGAACTTCATGGAATTATTGACAAAAAGACACAATTTTTAGCACAAAGACTACGAATAGAAAACGTTAAACATCGTAATAAATCTGGTAAATTTTTAGCTAGCCAATTTAAAATAAATAAAGAGAAAACTACCACATCTGCTGTTAAACACTCAACTGGGAATATAGTTTATGACCCTGAAAGCATAAACAACACTTCCAGAGACTTTTACCAAACTTTGTACTCACCACAGATAAACCCATCAGGTAACGAGATCAATGAGTTCCTTGACAGGATAACACTTCCTAAATTATCAGACAGCCAAGTTACAGTCCTGGACTTGCCACTAATATCAGCTGAGCTCCAGGAAGCCCTTAAATCCATGACTAATAGGAAAGCTCCAGGTCCAGACGGATTTCCAGCAGAGTTCTACAAAGAATTCTGGCTCATTCTGGCTCCAATATTTTTCAGAATGGTGAGGGAAATCGAAGAGAGTGGTAGATTACAGCCAAACATGAACTCAGACAGGTATTAAATGGATAAAGTGTAAGAAAATAGAACATAAGATCAGTCTTTATGCAGATGATGTTTTACTCTTTCTCCAGAATTCTCAATCCTCTCTCTCCCATTCAATAGAACTGATAAACTCTTTTTCAAAAGTTTCAGATTACTCTATAAACTGGTTAAAATCCACAGTTCTACCAATTAATTTCTTAATTTACTTAATACACAATTGGAGTCAGGGAATATCACATACCTGGGAATTAATGTATCTCCCAAGTTGGCAGATCTAACCAAACTAAACTACATCCCACTTTTAAAGAAAGTAGAAGATGATCTTGCAGGATGGAAATCCTTACCGATATCACTCATGGGGAGAGTTGCTACAATTAAAATGATGGTCTTACCCAGAATAAATTACTTATTTTCATTTATCCCAAACAAACCACCAGCTGACTGGTTTAGATCTCTGGACTCCTCAAATACCAAATTCCTTTGGCAGGATAAACCTCCACGAATTAGCTTAAAAACACTTCAGAAGACCAAAGACAAAGGAGGACTGGATCTACCCAACTTTTATTATTATTATTATTATTATTTCTTAGTCAACAGGCTGCAAGATGGTTGCAAGATAACCCACTAGATGAGTCCTGGTTAGATATAGAACAGACACTTTGCAATACGATAGAGCTTTCAGACTTACCATTTATTAGCTCAAGCATAAGAAAACATGAAGGCTTCAAAAGTATTAGTATCAGCACCTCTCTGACAGCATGGTGGGAGTATCTAAAAATGACAGAGTCTTCACTAGTACCATGCAGACACACACCTATCTGGAATAATCCTGATATTTTGCAAAATAATAAAATGATGAACCTTCCAGACTGGAAAAATAAAGGAATCCTATACCTGGAACACATATATGAAGGATTGGACTTCATCCCATCTAATAGAATAGTCTCCCAATTTGGAATAGATAAGAATAGCTTTTCAGAATATCACCAAATTAAATCTGTAGTCAAACAAAAATGTAAGCTAAATAAAATGGAATTACAAACACCACCAAGGGTATTAGACTTCCTGGGGTCCTGACATGTATGCTGCCGGGGGAAGGCAGGAACATGCAGCAGTGCCTGACTCGGGTTCAGGGGCCTCAGGTGGACCTTGGCTCCTCTGCTGTCCCATCACAGTGGAGGGGGAAGTCCAGGAGGGGGGGGGGGGGGGGGCAACCTTACCTGGATGTCCTATGTCTTTTATAATCCGGAAGTTGTGCAAATGCAGGGATGGGCGTAGATATTCTGCTGGGATGGGGCTGGGTTGGTGCCCTCGGACTCCGTGAGGCTCTGTGATGCTGCTGCTTTGGGCCCTGGCAGATGGGCTGGGGTCTCCATGCCCTGGGTGGCATTTTGACAACAGAGGTGCCTATTAGGGCCAGTGGGGGAGCTGGCTCCCTGGAGGGCTAAGTAGGGCTGTCGCGGTTGAGGAATTCCCCCTGCGGTGATTCAGGGTGGCTTAATATTGCGGTGTGCGATATTATTGCAGCCCTTTTTTTTTATTGCAGCACTATCTAAACATAATGTTTTCACATTTAAAAAAGGTTAAAAATTGCCGTGCCTTCTTTAATAACACTTTACTGAATGCAGATCAAAGGGCAGTAACAACACAGATCGCAGTAACGTTTGTTTCTCCGACAGTCGGAGTCCGACTGAACTTAAAAACAACAAAATTCAGGAGGTTAAACTTTTAAATGCAAATTTGGCTGCAGCATCTAACAAATAAGAAACAAGTCCCCATTTTGTTTAGTTGTTTAAAATCAAGCATAAAAAATTACATGTACCGGGCACGCGCGCGCCGGGGGGGCGGGCGCACTATCATTTCACTTTCACACACACGAATGACGGCGCTTTATAGCTCAGTCACGTCCTTGTTACCTACAAGGAAAACCAGCATGTTAACCATATACGGTTTGAGAGAGGATCTGAGAGGGGTGGCAACATTTCCAGCAACACTGAAAACCCTCTCGGATGGTGCGCTCGTTGTACTAACGCACACGTACCTGCGTGCGACTCTGGCGAGCAAAGGGAATCTCTCCCGGTTGTTGCTCCACCATGTCAGGGGGTTTCTTTAGGGTGGATGCATTCCTCCTGCAGGTAGCGAGTGAGCTCCAGCTCGGCTCAAACTCTCTTCGGGACGGTTGCAGAAGCAGTGCTTGTCTCGGACTTCAGCAGGTCTCCGAGCATTGATTGATTTATTTATTTATTTTTGCCGCTGGTGGCAGCTCTGTCTCGGCCAAGGACTCTGGCTGCGCAGCAGCTGACGTACTGAAAACCAAAGTGCTCCCAAAGGAGCGAAGTA